TGGGATGAAAGGGACAAAAAAAAATTAATCCGCAACTTGTTTGAGGAGGTCAAGGAACAAAATTTTTGGCTTAAGCTTAAGCTCTGATGCTTCAGTTAAATGCAAGGATCATGGATTGTTAGGTCTCTTTCCGGATCCGCGACACGCGACGCACACTTCGATTTTTCTATTCACACGCGCTGCGTCTCGCGGTCGCTAAATTCATAACCATCCCCTTAATGCTCAAATTTAAATTCACCCCCTTCCACCCACAAAATCCACCGATTTTGGCGCTAAAAGCCTTCGACCAAAATTCCGGCTCCCCCACAAGCCACAGAGAACAAGCCTTACATGCACACACACAAGGGATGAGGGCGGCGTGACTTTAAAGGGCGAGCTTTTCCAGTCCCCCTCCATCTTTCTCCTCGGGCTCCTCCTCGATGCACCGATTTACGAGACAGCCCCCCTGCTCCTCGAGCTTCAACCCCCGATTTGGGGGGAGTGGAAGGAGCAGGAGGGTGTGTGTTGCATCCTTGAGCCACGGAGCGTTGGAAAGCGAATGTGTGGGTGTGGGGGACTGTAATTTGAATGACAGTTACAGCTCATGGCACAGATTGAGCGGACGGACGGGTGGTGGAACGGCGGGGTGTATACGGGCAATTTACACCCGGTTACACAGTAGCAGGTAACTCGTGGAATAAAACAAAAGAAGTGTTGAGTTGAAAAGAGTCCGATCCTATCCTATAAGCGAGAAAAGTATGTGTGTTTTCTGTAATGACGATTTCTCGGCCGTCAGGCCGAATTTCGTGCTGATTTTTGGCATGGAGGCGGAGAAACACATCCTCTTTATACGCATTTTTTTGTTTTTCGAAATTCCTTAATTTAACGATTTTACAAGGAAAATAGTATAAAACCCTTAACATTTTGACCAAAAAAAGGTTTGTTCAGAGGCTATCTCGATTGCCTGAAGGAGTTAGACCCTGATTTTTGGTGGGTTGATGCATAATGAAAATATCTCGATACTATTTTTTGGATTTTCGTTAATTCCTTAAAATAAGGTTTTTATAAGCATTTTTCGAAAAAATCCTTAACAAAATGGCCAAAGTGTCGTGGTGTCCAGGCCATAACTCGAAGCCCAGATGGAATTTCGGGCTGGAATTTGGATAACTTATGTAATCGATGGTGGGGATCACGCGCATCTTATTATTTTGACAAATGTTTGGCAGTTTCAGACTAAAAAAGCGAATTTTGCAAAGTGACCAGAAGGCATCCCTCCCAGCTCTCATTTCTTTACCGCTGCCCGGAGCGGACCCGCCCCCAGGACAGAACAAGCCTTTGCCGCCCCCGTTCCCATCCGTCCCGCGGTGTAGTGGATTGGGGTGGGGTCTACCACGCGCATGCTCGTGGGTTCGGATCCTCGGCCAATTTAACTTTTTGCTTTTTGGTAGTTCAGCAACAAAACTTATTTTTAGGCTCACGTTCTGCGAGGTTTAGGCCTGGCTCTCGCTCTAGCGCCGCAGGCCAAAGAAAAGGTCCTTGACCTAGGCTCTGCGCCGCAGGCCACGGATGGGTCCTGGACCCAGGCTCTCGCGCCGCAGGCCAATGATGGGTCCTGGACCAAGGCTCTCGCGCCGCAGGCCAGATTCCGGGAGAGAAAAACCAGTAACTAGCGCCGCAGGCTCAAGGATTCTAGCGCAACTCTGGATCTTGCGCTGCAGGCCAAAGAATGGCTCCTTGACTCAGGTTCATGCGCAGGCCGAAAAAGAAAGTATTTAAATTCATGGTTCCTTGACGGGGTCCAGTGGAAAAGAGCCGCGAAGCGGTCTTTTTCCACTGGTTTATACATAATATTGTCATAGTGCGCTGCAAAAAGCCCGAGATGTTGCGAAAAATTCAATAGAACTTGGCTTGACCTGACCATAGACGTATTGGCTCTCTCTCTCTCTCTCTGTCTCTCTGTCTCTCTTTCTCTCTTTCTTTCTCTCTCATTATCTTTATAGGAATAATCGCCAAGACAGGCGAGGAAATCCCATTTTAGGAGAAGTATCGTATGCCCATTTAATGAAACTAGCCAATCCTCCGTCTCTCCTATCTCTATCTTACTCTCGCGCTCTTTCTCTCGCATTTCTCTGTATTTTCATGCCTTGTAATTCCAACCAAGTTATTAAATTATAACATTTATTTGGAGTGCACATTGATCGCATGAGACAGAGATATATAGCACAGCCGGGGGGAGGGTGGCGTTGTGGAGGTACCTCCAAGCCAAAAGCCCTTCAGTACCATCCACTCCGCCAAACTAGATATACTGATAGCGTCGACAATTTGTACACGTCGCATGAGGAAGGAGAAGGAGTACAATGAGAGAGAGGGTGGGCCCTAGGAATTGCCAGCAGCGGCGGGAAAAACAAAATATGGGGGGTCGTCGAGTGGGGCGTCGCGTCGGGATCGGTAGTTCAAAATTTCCTTTTTACAACCGACCCGATCCCGGCAATGACACACACACGGGGGGTATGTACAGATCACACTTTGCGTATAACTAGAGCATCTATCGGTCGATCGGGGGGTGGTACCCGATCCGCCGGTTATTTTTTTGAATTTTTTTTGTAAGAAGGGCCAAGAGGTGGAATATGTGGTTGAGGGCTGGGGGCACGGGTTTTTCAGGTCCCGGCCCCTCATAAGCCCTTCCCAGACTTTCCGAGACAACAAAATATGGATAGATGTACATGGGGGAGGGACATCGGGAGGGGTGTTAAGGTATATACAGGGTCAGACACTCGCGCTTGATCGTTTGGAACTTTTGAATTTTAGGTTTGGCTTTAAAATAGTTCCAAACGATCGAAGCGCATACACATAAATTTTGCGGGTATTAAAAACTTGGGGGAAAAGCACACCGAAATTGACCAGTAGTGATTGGAGTGGTTGTTGGGAGGGCTCGGAAATTGCTAGAAAGGCAGCTGGTTCCTATATTCAAACGCCGTATGATTGAGTATGAGGTTTCAGTAACGGGGGAATTGTGGAAAGTTTGCATGTGGAAATCGGGGGTTAAAGCTGGGCAAATGATATACAATGAGTAACACAAATGGAACCGGCACAGTCTTCCTAGTCAAAATAACTGAGATAGATCAGAATACAAGACCACGAGAAAAACGAATGGAAATGCACGGACACGCTCTATTCTTGGAGTAGGGGTATGGAGATATTTCGTGTAAAGGCAAACATTGTACAAAGACCAGAATTTCATATCAAGTTTTGGGTGGATGGAGGCAATATCCGCAAAATAAACACGCACAACGCAACACGCAGCACGAGGGTCTGACACTGAGATGGGGGGGATGGAGGCAAAAAACAATGAGAAATGCACCACGATCATCTGACTATATATACCCAACAATTGTGGTGGTGGTTTTGTTTTGGATGAACCCGAAATTAGGCAACACAGACGCGCAAAATCGGGGTGCTCAGAGGAGAGTCAAGAAAAAAAAGTTTCTTTTTTGGGGGACGTCCCTGACACAAATACAACTGGCCATATACAATTGGGAGGGGAAGCTGAAAAGGGCCAAAAAGGGGCCAAGACTGATTTTTATACAAGGCGGGGATGAGTAAACCGTAGTATTTTCGAGAGTGTTGCTGTTCAGAGTTTGACCAGCTTAACAGTGGTAATTTGTCCAAAAATAAATGGGGGGAAGGGGGTGGCTACCCGTGCCGTTCTAACAGGTGGATGTTTTCAACACACATATGCACTTGGGGGGTGGTTAAAGGATGGCCCGTTTCTTAAAGGAGTATTGTTTTTGTCAACCGAGGATCGGGTGCGCACGGGGGCGCTTCAACTAGAATCAAAAGGAGATTGGAAGGGGGGTATCGTCAACATAGTGTCCCGTTTTGGTTTTAGAGATTAGGAGGGGGGTATTGTTGTATATAAAGGGAAAGGTATAGTAGGTGACTACGTAACCCAACCCAAAAAATCAACAAATATTAGAAACATTTCGGCTTCCCGGACCAAAGTGACAAGCACAGCCTGAAACCTCGATCCCGGGGGGTACCGCTAAAGAGAAAATGAGATTAGAATTGGGACTGACTATCCGGATAAATACTAGAGTACCGTATCTTAGAAGTCTTGTGGGGGGAGATGTGAGATAGACTGGAAGAGGAACGGGACTGCTTTGCACACGTCTTCAAATTCTGTCGTATATTAAGGGGGAGAAGCAACCGATAGAAGTCTGAGGTGGATCGTGGAACCAGGAAAAGCTGTAAGGGGGGTACTGATTAGAACTCGTCTTGCTGTATTTTCAGCTTGCTGAGAGGTTTTGGCAGATGCACATAAACTAGGCTGAGGCGATGGGGGAGACTACACGGGGTTTGTTTCTGGAAGGCTGATGGCCCGTATAGGTTGATCTGATTGGAGTAGGCGATGGGTCAGGCATAAAGCCCTCAGGCGCTTTTCAAAAGGTTTCGAATTTCCGGTGGGTATGTGCAAAATAAGGGTTTTGTATCAGTTTTGCGCTGGGGGGTTCTGTGCCAACCCACGCCTACCTAACACTACTCTGCGCGTTCAGCATCTGTGTACACGGAGATACAAGCTACGAAGGCCCGGAGAATATAAGGAATAAATACATATCTGGGCTGGGCGCATTTCACCCCGCCGCCGGGGCATTGTAGCGGGTTCAACGGGTCCAAAATCGGTGGTAAAAATGCTGCTGAAATCGCTACTCTACTGCTGCGGCGAGGGGAAATGCGTGGGGGCGCCAAAATGTACAAGAGACTTGTTTCGCGGGGTTTTTGGAGAGACACGTATTGGTTTTGGGTGAATTCAGGGGGGAGTAAAGTTCATAATACATCTGGGTATCTACATCGGTCACCGACACGACCGACACACTGGACGACGGGCTGCTGGCTGGACTAGGCGCGTTTGTTAAAAGTACGGTAGGTGCTGAGTGTTCGAATTTTAGATGGATTCGGCAAAAAATCTGAGCACCAACCGCTCTTACTCTCTCAAAATCTCCTTCTCAGGTTAGCTTCAACTAGGCCTGGAGGAGCAGCCCGTCGCCGCTGTGCGAGGCGAGATTCGGGGCGAACAGGGTGGAAAGTTCGCCGGAGGACAGCCAGGAATGGCCGAGCGGGTTCGCCGAGAGGTCGTCGAGGTGGGCCCAGTAGCCGAACGAAGAAGCCCCTGCCGGCTCGTCGTCGTACGAAGAGCCCAGGCCAACAAAACCGCTGTTGCTGCTGCTGCTGCCACTCCACCAGTAATCCGCATCGCAAACCGTCGGGAGGGATGGTGCCTGAAAATGGAGGGTTTATACCGTTTTTAAAGTCCTGAATCGAGGTATCTGAGAATTAAAACATACCGTAACGATCTCTTTCGGCTCTTCCTGGTGTAGTTGCAACGGGGTCAGTTGTTGCTTCCTTCCCGGCCACTCGTCCATCTCCATCGCCTGATCTCCCCCAGTAAGGGTGGAGAACAGCTCCTCATCGTCCAGCAGCTCCAAATCGCGCTGAAAGGTAAGTAGGTAAGATTGGTCGATTAATGGCAAAATACCTGGAGCGCTTTGATGGTATTGTAGACGTGGAGGTGTTTGCGGAGAGGTGGATCGCGTGCCCCTTGAAGTTTGGATACAGAAGTGTCCAGCAGGCGACGGCGGGATTCGCGCTCCAACTGACGCTCGGCCGCTGAGCGACCGGAGCATGAGGAACGGGTGGATGAGATCGAATCCGTCGACCGGGACAGTGGGGAGTCTTCGCGACTTCTGGAAGGAAGAGGAGGTTATAGGGGATAATTTTTGCCATAACTTTTTGACTTTAGTTTATTTTCAAGGGTTTTAAGGCATAGATCGAGTATACCAACCTGGCAAGGGGAACCGGTTCGGAGGGCTTGAGATCGTCGGTTGGCCAATGTGGTCGAATAGAGGAGGGAACCTCATAGAAAAGGTCGTCGGCCGAGTAGCCTGTCATCGGCATCGAACAGACCGACGATGACAGGGCTGCCGAATAACACGGCACCAGTAACACCATATTGACAACAAATTGTGGAGGAAGGGGAGACCCGCGTGTAAAATGAACTGAAAGGATTTGGTAAAAAATAAGTTGTTATAAGATAAGAAAACAATGAATGGATAGGAAGAAAGAAATCCAAAAAATCACGATTTCTATGCCGAATCACCCAAGAAAAACGCGTAGGCGAATGAATCAATCCCTCCCCTCTACCCTAGCAGCCAATCTTATCTCTTCCCCTCATCGACTACCCATCAAACCTGCTGCCTAGAGAATTAAAGAAAGGGAGAGAAACCGAGAGAGTGAGAGATTGTTCACAGGGCGGAGAGAGAGGGCGTGATGGGGGCGGAGACACCAGTCCCCACCAATCGATATATTGACCGGCTGGTGACCGATTTTGGGAGGCCTTTTGGCTGTGGGGCATGTCCCCGGAAATTGTCGGCATTTGCAACAACATGGCATTAATCCGCTAAATACCAGCTGCAAGCAAGCAAGCGGAGGAAAAATTTAATTTACATAAAAAGCAAAAAAGGATAATAGGGAAAATAAAAAGTGCTTATTTCAAAGGAAAAGACGCTACGCGCATAGAAGATTCAATAAAAAGTGGCTAATAGTGGTGCAGCGCCAAGATTTGACAAAATTCGCAATATTCACATTATTTTAGGCGTTATAAAGGGTAAAATTGTCAAGCAAAAAGGGTGGTAAACACGTCCAAGGATTTATATTAAGAATATATAGGCGAAAAACCATATTTAATACTTTATTTTCATAATTGATGGAAAACCTTCGTCTAACTTTGCGGTTTCGGCGTTACCGAGCACGGTACATCACGCGAGAGTTGGCTAAATAGACCCACCATTCCCCCAGAACCCCCAGTCCCAATATTTCTACCCTTAAAATCTATAATCCATCAAGTATACCATCCCTTTAAAATACTGGGCGACTCCAAGCCATGGTGAGTGCTGTCGGAGGGACCGGCCTCGAATGGGCTATTCGTGTGTGTGTGGGGGGAGAGCTGAAGGGAGGAGGGGCCTCCCCCACCCCTCTATATACGTCAACCCCTTTTCATTCTTTTTCTCTAATCCCTCCCTCCATTCCTCACTCTCTCTCCCCTTTATATCTCACAAAAGAGATCCCCTCTCTCCCTTCCCCCACCCTCTCTCTCCTCTCTATCCCCTCCTCTTTTCCCCTGTCACTCTCCTGTCTTTTTCCCGAACCTTCCACCCTGTTCTATCGTATCCCATCGTTGCCCATCGTTTCTCAACGCTCCGCAATAGTGCCCCCTCCTCTTTTTCCCACTATTTCCCTCCTATTTCACAAACCCTCCCCTCCCCCGATTTGCACTCCCTGCGAAATTCTCGATTTCTCAATGAAACTCGTGGTCCATCCATCTTTTCTTACCAACCAACCGGCCTGAAGGCTTGAGTTATTCTGGGCCTCAACATCTCATCGGCCAGCGACGAGGGGGGGATTCAACAATGAATTCGACCATTCTGAATTCTCGACAACCACCACAAGGGGGGGGGGGGGGTGATGCTTGGAATATTTTTGGGATAATTGGAAAAGAGAAAATGTATAGAAAAGTCGAGATGATGGGTAATATTATGGCCCCTGTTGCAGGGTCCCACTGAAAAATATACTTTTATGCACTCTAGATCAATTTCTGGGTGGATTCAAAAGGACTTGACAATGGAAGGACCGAACCAGATGAAATGTGAGAGAATAACCCCGATGGAGAGGGAGGGAGAGAGCGTGGGAAAGAGAGAGAGCGAGAGAGATAGAGATAGATAGTGAGAGAGAGAGAGAGAGAGTGGTAAAGAGATCACGATGGAGTTTGTGCAATTGATAGTATTATTGCGCGAATGCGGTAATACTCGGAGACTTTGCAAAATTTCTCCGAAGCGAATATATGAATAGCATTACCCAACTCCGGTTTTAGCAAGCCATAACCTAACCCTATCAATTTGCTAGTAATTTCATAAATCACCTCAATCAAATAATACTCAAGGCCATATACCTCGACAATTAACACCTCCACCCCCGCAATCTCGGGCCCTCAAAATATCGCACACGAAACGACCACCTTCCCAGGTACTCTTATAATAAAGATCGAGTATTTCTGTCCACTGTCCCAATCCCTCCCCACATTACCCAATCCCTTGCCCTTTCTTTCTCCTCTCCACCCTCAAATTTCCCAACGTCATGATCGCTCTCTGAAATGCTGTGGTGGGGGGGGGTCTCCCCCTCGTCGCATCTTCAAAGAATTTCCCCCGTTGTCACATGTACTTTCGTCACACCAGGCGTCTCTCATTCCACACTATATTTCCTTTCCGCTCTGACGATGGGGATTGCTTTGGGGTCTCTCCTACAGCTGTGCTCTTTCTCGCTGTCTGCACCTCTCCAATTCCACACTATATTTCTTTTCCGCTCTGACGCTGGGGAATTGTTCTGGGGTCTCTCGCATCGATGCCCTATTTCCCATTGCCTGCTCCCTCTCCGCTTATCGACACTCTGACTAACGTCACGCGCCCGGGCGCCCCGGGATGTAAACAGGCCCCGGGTAGGGGTGGGGAGGGTGGAGAGCACTGACGCTGATGGAAGAGCTTTCTAAAGGGGGAATGAAGGCGAGAGAGTCGTCCCTTTTCTCCCAGCATCGGCCCCTTCTTCTCTCCTCGGCTGCTCTGCTGCCTTCTCCCATCCCCCCACCTCCACATATACCCAACGGGTTGGTGAAGTCGACTAAGGGACCACCCAAACATCACAAATTTCAAAGGCTTTAGGTTCTGAAAATTAAAATATATATTTCGGGAAGGCATATGGTAGGGTTGGAGTAATTTTTTGATACTAAAATGAGCTAGAAATGTTACGTTAAAATGAATTTTTATAAAACGAAGGTTATCCTGTTTCAGAGTTCACCGCTCGCTTAAAGCACAATAGATATATCAGTTTTTTATAATCAAATATCTATAAACTACAATAAAAACTGGCAAATGTATAAAAACTACGCAGTTTTTCAATTTTTTTTACCGCGCTGTAAGTGATTCTGCTACTAAACCTGCGGACTATATAATTCGGTACAAACAAGTAAGCTTCACCTTTTTTGAAGACTTTAAGAACTGCTTAAAAACTTTTTAATCCGGTTTTCTCTGAAAATGAATAACATGAAACTCACTAATATCATAGCTTTGATCGCCTTCCGTAGCTTTCCATAAATTTCAAGTTTTTAATACAATACTCCTGACACCCTTTATCACCACAAAAAGCTATCAATTGCCACGCTCCTCGTGTGTGGTCCTGAAAATAAACAGTTTACATTTATCAGCCAGCCTACTCCCCAGCTTCCCCCCAGCTAATTTTGGCGCGTGAAACTGGGCGCTTTTTATCAAGCCCGCGATAAAAATACCACAAAGCCTCGTGCCTGGGGCTTACACACGTCAAATACAGTATCTCACGCGGTTTTGTAGCCATTTTTAGGCACAATGCGCAATATTCCCAGTTTATTATCACCATTTCATGACACCAAGAAAATGACTTATTACCGTAGCCCCCGTTGCTGCCGATAGTTCGCCAAAGAACCACTCGATCGCCCTTTTTTTGGTGATGATCGATGCCACCGCTGGATTGCCGTGAAACCCGGTAATTTTGTTGGACGTCAAACTCTCAAAAATCCGAAATCTGTGGACATTTTGGGCTTGTGGGTGGAACTAATGAGGGGGGCTTGTTGAGCGGGATGGGGGTGAAGCCGTAATTTTCCACGGGCTACGCTCGGGGGGGGGGGGGAGCTGTTTACGGGGATTCGGATTATTCGCGCTCGAAATAGCTCGGGCGATCCACTAGAAAATGTGATTCTATTAATCCGCAGCTATTTTGGGTGAGGCGAGATTTGTAGATGTGTATTTTGGAGTGTGGAAACAAAGGAGAAGGGGTAAGGAGGGCGTTAAATTAGTACCTGTAAACTTGAAGGTATGCGGGACTTTCTTCCATTTACACAAAAAGAACCAGTTTCTCCAATTGTACTGACTTTCAATTGCTCTCTCCCTCCCTCTCTCTCTCTCTCTCTCTCTCTCTCTCTCTCTCTTTCTCTCTCTCTCTCTTACTCTCTCTCTTTCTCTCTCTCTTTCTCTCTCTCACCAACCGCGATTGATGGCCAATCCCAGTTTTTATAGGTTCTCCCCCACGATTCTTTTTTCAATACCGCCATTCCCCTCACCTCAACCCTCACGTGTTTTTCGCTGAGCCGAGGCCGAGGCCGCTTCGATAGAAAAAAGGCAGCAGCAGCAAAAAAAGGGAAAACTGAGGGGGGCCTTGGCCTCGGAATGTCAACACCCCACCCGAACGAAGCGGCCCTCCAAAGCGCGACCCGGGCCAAGCCAGCACTACGGTAGCTGTCAATGCAGGAGAGTGATTCACCCGGGTTCACCGTTTTTGTTCTCATTTGGGTCGTATCGTCAAATATATTGGATGTGTGTGGGTGGCGTCTCTCAAAAAAGCTGAGGCTGTGGATGACACCCGGAATTAAAATTTTGGATAGGGAATTTCGGATTAGGGCTGAAGAAAATCCTTGTGAAATTCCTATACTAAAGTAAAAAACTACAGATTCGCATAGTAGCGCAACGTAGCCATGTTCTATAGCCACTCAACTTAAAAACCTATACCACCTCACCTCCATTCAAAACAAACAAAACCTCTCTACGACTTGACACCTCCCCCACATAATAGCATTTCAATAGAATTTCACAGCTCGCGAAGACAAAAGACTCGAATATATTAGGAGTACCGGTTAGGGGCCTTCCCAGCGTGAGAGGTCAATGTTTGCGGATGCATGGATGGGCCATCCTTACTCGCAGCTGTTCCTGAGGGTGGACGAGAGAGAGAGAGAGAGAGAGAGAGAGAGAGAGAGATAGACCGAGCAAAGTGACGTGCGAGGGCTCTACTCTGTATCTCTCTCGATCGGATGCTCTCTCGTCTTGACTGTGCGTTGCCCTTGTCCTTGTCGATGACCCATTCCCCTTCACCAGGGT